GTTCAGCTCATTAAAGATATGTTTATCCTTTTCTTTAACAGCGTTCTCTTATCAGTTTCAAATCCAATATGGTGATGCGGTCTATCCCAGAGCTCCTGCAGGACACCAGTAACCACTTGTCTATTGCTGTCCCTAGAAATGCCAAAGAGTCCTCTAGCCTGTCCTCTTCTTCTGATTCTGATGACCTGGAAGAGCTCCCTTATGTACCCATGCCTCTTCAAGTCCAGTTTTCTGGTTCTCGAATGTCCCTTAATGAAATCCCAACTGATGAAGATCAACCTTCTCAAAACACAGAAGATGCCATTATGGAAGATCAGGAGAAGGATGAGGATGGTAGTAAAATCACCAGCAAAGTTACAGAATCTGAAGTCCCTCATAAAGAGGTGCCGGAGTCACTTAGCAAACGACCCAAAGGGTCACTTACCAGAAAGAAATCAAATGAAGCTGAAGGGGGTTCTTCCTCCGATGAAGAACCCTTGGACAGTCGAAAGGCTGATCACCCAAGAAAGTCTCTCAAAAAAGGATCCAGCTTGGAGTCTTCAGAGATACCTGATGAGGAGCTGGTAGCAGCTCGCAGAGGTGAACTTAGGAGGGGAAGCTCTGCTGACAGTGCTCTCCTGTTAAATGTATCAAGTGAAGATAATGATATACGAAATGAACTTGAGAAGGGAATGACTAAAGCTGCCTCCATGGAGCTGCCAACCAGAAACCGTAGCCCTATGAGACGGAAAAAGCTGGGATCAGCTGAGGAAGAGTATGCACAACGTTTGGAATTAATGAGGCAAAGGCTTCTAAGGGGGGTTTCAGCAGATGGAAAGCTTAGTGGTCTTAGAGGTCCTCTGATGGAAACACTCTCCAATGATAAAAAACGAGGTGAACAGCTGTCCATGCGCCCCCAAAGAACTGACAATGAACCTTCATCACCCATCCCAGCCATCAAACTTACCCGTGCTGCTTCCAGTGAAGCAGCGCCAGGAAGAGAAGCATCAGAAGAGAGAGTCTTAAGGAAGACCAGTTCTTTTTCACATTCTGACACAGAGCCACTTATCCTGCATCGTAGGTCTGGTGCACCGCTTGAAATTCCACTTGCTCAAGTGGAGGCACAGCGCTTAAAGGAAGCTACCTCTATGTCTGCTCTGACAGATCAGTCACGATTTGATTCTCGTCCTCAAACTCCACGTGAGATTCCATCAAAGTCTGTGACTCCTGAACCAAGCCAACAACAGGCAGAAAGTGTGGATGCAGAAACTCAGAATCACAGAGCAGATGACAAAGATAAATCACCATCAATGACGCCTAAGTCTCATGAAAAGCTTAATGGGGGTAATTTGGAAATTGTATATCCAAAAGTGACTTCCTTGGTAAAAGATGTGATTCCCAGAATGGAAATACCAAGCATGCAAGTAGGGCAGCCAGCTGAAAAACCATCTCAGGGAGATGCAACAAAGAATAATGAACTCAATGCAAGAACAACAGAAGAAACTCCAAATGCTTTGCCAGCTGTGGAAGATATATCAAAGCTATTAGAGAGTGTACCCTCTTACTTGATACCAAAGGAGCTTCCTAAACAAGAAGAGAAGACTGTTTTAGTAAAAACACATCCAGAGATTACATCAGGAAAAGAGATTACATCAGTAAAAACATCTCCCTCTTCTGATATACGTAGAAGTGAACTTTCTCCATCCCCAGTCATTACACCATCCACACTGCCAAGTTCTCCTGCAGCAACTTCATTTTTGCTAAACCCATCTGTTGTCTCACCAACTTTGAAAAGTTCTTTTCTTGCTCCCTCAAACTTGCCAAAGACAGTTACTTTTACAACCTCTCCACCAAATCAAGCTGTTGGACCTGTCCCATTTCCAATGCCAAATGTAACTGTAGGTTCATCTTCAGTGAGAGCTCCATCTATAATGAAGTCAACTTCACCAAGTCCAACAGTTTCATCTCCTGGATCAAAATTAGTAAAACAGCCCCAAAATACACTCATATCTATGCCACAATCTACAGCTGTGCAGGTAAAAGAGACCCAGCAACTGCCAGCAAAAGTCCCAGCACCATCTAAGAAAGCAGTTAGAGAGCCATCACCTGTTTCAAAATCCCAGTCAGAAAGTGCTATATCACCCAAAAGATCTACCTATGCAGAAATGATGCAAACACTACAGGTGCCAACATCTGAAGATGAGTCACAAGAACCCACTGAATTGAGAATTTCCACAACAGGACAAGCTAGGCTTCAAAAGAAACCTCCAGATGACATTATGGATGAAAAGAAAACTAAAGAGGTTGTAGCACTGCCTGAGCCACCAACCTTTTCTAAGGTTAAAAAGCCCACTACTGAAAGTACAGAGAATGTCCAATACATCAGCAACATAGATTCAGAAGAAGTGTTTGAAGCCAAATTCAAGAAGAATCGAGAGTCTTCTCTCACTCGGGGATTAAAAATGCTGACCAGGACTCGGTCAGAAGAAAAGAATTTATCAGTTGCCCAGGCATCACGGGAAGAGGAAATGTACAGGCCTAGTCCAGTTGGTGTTCCCCTTGAGTTCCTAGTGCCTGCAGCTCTTGGTTTGGATGATAGATCTAGGTCTGTTCAGGACCTACGAGATGCAGAAAGAGATCCAGGCTTCATGAGAAGGCTGTCTCAACGCTTCAGGAAGTCTCCATCAACTGAACGAAAGGAGCGACAAGCAGGGGAAGCAGAATCACCCACTTTGCCGGGAAGGCGTCTTTCCTGGACCTTGGGAAGGGGAAGTGCCAAAGACAAGAAAGATGCTGAAAGCCTCAAATCAGAGACAGGGTCAATTGAGACAATCTCTGAAGGCATTTCCAAAGAACAAAAGAAAGCCAGTGAATCACCAGTGTTGGCAATGAGAAGAAAAATTGGAAACACGATGGACCGTTTGTCAATGAAGCTGAGAAGCCAGTCAGAGGAAAGAGGTGACTCGGAGAGTCAGGATAGAAAAGAGGACAGACCAGAGAGGGGAACACCACTGATGTCTATACTGAGGAGATCAAACTCCGAAGGAGAGAATATACGTAAACTTGGAATACCACAAAACCAGCTTGCTGCACAGGTTGCTTCATCAGCTTCTAAAGAATCTGTCAACTCTGGCCTCAGCATCAAATCAGAAATGGTAGAAAAAGGTGAGTTATGTCCACAAAATATATACGCATCTGCATACATTACTTTAGTGCTTATGTTGATGGGCAAATGTAATGTACTTTTGGTTGCTTATGAAAGCAGTTTGAGATCCCTCCCATTTACATCTATCAGGTCCATTGCAGTATATTTAATACTTTATGAAATGTCCTGCACAGGGGCGGACTGACAACTCATGGGGCCCCCAGGAAATAGGGGATCATGGGGCCCCTGTGTCCTCGATCACATTCAAACCACACCCAAAAAGCCTATGAAAGGTACCAGGGGCATCTCATGGGGCCCCCTACTGACCCCGGGCCCTCGGGCAGCGCCCAAATACCCAAATGGTCAGTCCGCCTCTGGTCCTGCACAACCGGGCCCACAAATAATATTTATTTATTTGTTTATTTATTTTACATTTTGCTCAATCTCTAATTATCATGGCTTTTCTTTCTTCTAGATGACAGGCGATCCAGATGGGACCGCTGGAGTTTTTCACGCAGTAAGAGAGACAAGATGGTTTCCCAACCAAGCATCCCAGCCAGCTTGATCCAAGAAGATGGCAGCATAGTGGGCAGACAGTACATCCGCAATGAGTCAGGTAGGAGATGCTGCATACTGTAATGTAGGGTGTATTGGGAATTTTGTAAGGCTGGCTTAAAATGAAACTTTGTTGACCCCCCTGCAAAAGTATTGACAATTTTGGCTGTATTTTAAACACTGTAGTAAAGAAAAATAGTGGTTGACAGCCTGTAACAGCCAATCCAGCCTAGGACTTAGTTGAGATGAGCTTTTGTGAAGCAAGCTATTTTTTGACCAGATTGGGCAATTTATTCAATTGCTTTTTTCCTCAGCACAAATACTCATCCACTCCAATCCACCATTCTAGCACAAATCCTCTTCTCCTCCCAAATTCCCTACTGCAACACAAATCCTCTCCCTCCAAACCCTCCTTCTAGCACAAACCCCCCCCCCCCTCCCTGCATAAATGTTCCTCCCCAAACCCTACCTCCTAGGACAAATTTTCTTATTTTATCTCTCCCCCCAAAACTCCCTCACAGCATAAATCTCCCCTCCCCCCCAAACCCCTACTTCTAGCACAAATTCTCTTATTTTATTCCGCCTCCCCAACCCTAGGCACAAATCCAGTACAAATGTTCTTATCTCCAAATCCCTTCCTAAGCTCAAATACTATCCGCCTTCCCTGAAATCCCCCCATAACTACAGACCTCAGATACAACATGGCTCAGTGCCGGGAGATGTTCCTTCTCTCAGGCTTCTCCTCATGTTCTGTGCTTTCCTCAGCTCTGGCATTCAATATGTCACTGTACAGAGATGTTGGCTCCTGCAGTGTCAGCAATCACAGGACTGAAGACCCAGGGCACCTGACAGGAGATGTAGGTGTGTACCCTGGGTTCCAAGGGCTATCAACTCCACTCCACTATAAACTCATGCCTATGCTCAATCCTGCTGTAGGTCAAGAAAAAATATCAACCATTGAAAGACAGGACCTTGTACATACAACTACCTTCTATTTGCATCTTATAGGTCTACTAAGGCCCAAAATGAATTGCCGAATACAATAAACTATATGTGCCTTATCCTGAAATTAATTTTACGCCAGTAGTTGTTCAGCAAGCATGATGATTGTGCTGTCGGATATATAAATTCATTCATTAGATGGGGCACCTACAAATCTATTTAGGAAATTTAGTAATGAAAATATGAGACCAGTAAGCACAAAAAATGTGAAGTTCAACACATGCACATATTTCAGGAAATAAAAGTGATGACAAACAAATAAATAAAATATTTATTTAATGCAAAATGTATATTTCAGTATCAGAGGTTACAGATTTTTTTAATACTCTTCTCCCTCCTCTCCTTCACCCTCTCCTTCGACACTGTCAGTGCCAACCTCTTCATAATCCTTCTCCAGGGCAGCCATGTCCTCCCGAGCCTCAGAGAACTCTCCTTCCTCCATACCCTCACCTACGTACCAGTGCACAAAGGCACGCTTGGCATACATCAGATCAAACTTGTGGTCCAGGCGAGCCCAGGCTTCAGCAATGGCTGTGGTGTTGCTCAACATGCACACGGCACGCTGCACCTTAGCCAGATCTCCACCAGGAACCACAGTTGGTGGCTGATAGTTGATTCCAACCTTGAATCCAGTTGGGCACCAGTCCACAAACTGGATGGTGCGCTTGGTCTTAATTGTAGCAATAGCAGCATTGACATCTTTGGGCACCACATCACCACGATACAGCAGGCAGCAAGCCATGTATTTACCGTGTCTGGGGTCACATTTCACCATCTGGTTGGCTGGCTCAAAGCAAGCATTGGTGATCTCAGACACGGAGAGCTGCTCATGGTAAGCCTTCTCTGCAGAGATTACAGGGGCATAAGTGGCCAGGGGGAAGTGGATACGGGGGTAGGGCACCAGATTGGTCTGGAACTCAGTCAAGTCTACATTCAGAGCTCCATCAAACCTGAGGGAGGCCGTGATAGAGGACACAATCTGACCAATCAGACGGTTCAGGTTGGTGTAGGTTGGACGTTCGATGTCCAGGTTTCTGCGGCAAATGTCATAAATGGCTTCATTGTCCACCATGAAAGCACAGTCTGAGTGCTCTAGTGTGGTATGGGTGGTGAGGATGGAATTGTAGGGCTCAACCACAGCTGTGGAGATCTGAGGAGCTGGATAAATGGAGAATTCCAGCTTTGACTTCTTGCCATAGTCAACAGACAAACGTTCCATCAAGAGGGAGGTGAAACCAGAACCAGTGCCACCACCAAAACTGTGGAAGATGAGAAATCCTTGGAGACCAGTGCATTGGTCAGCCTAAAAAAGAAGACACACAGATGTTAGATAACTACTATGCAGGTTCAGTAACATTGTGTCCTTATTCTAATGGCCATGAGTTCTATGGTCTCTTAGAGACTCCAACTACAGGACCATCTCAGGAGTTTTCCTTCTCTGTCCCTCCACTGAAACTATTCCGGGAGCCATTTAAGGTTGTCATGCTAGGAACAAATAGTAAGCATAGGGTAAAGGTGGTCATACACCATCCGACCATACAAACATAGCTCAAAAGAATGTTCTAGATCGTCTATTAGGCTCCATGTACGCTGGGCTTAAAAAGACACCAGTTCCCTTGGCAGAAATAAACTCTGATATAGAGCGTCTTTGTACACAGTTTAGGAGAGTTTAGTGTTTTTTCTGCCAGAAAGCTCCAATCAAAATGCAAAACCAGAAGGTTATGCTTTTCTTGCCTCTGACAAAACTTTGTTGCAGATTCCTACCTTTTATTAATGTGAAGCAATAGCTGTTTGCTTGTCTGTGTCCAATGGCAGAGTGAATCTGTATGGGTGTGGTTTTATAAGCAATCAGCTTCTGCACCTGCAGGGCTCCAATGAAGAAATTGGCAGGGTCTGCATCCCTTTAGACATGATTTCTCTTTGGGAGTATCTCACCAAAAATGGCATATTTGTTGCAGGGGATGCCAAAAATCTGACTTGCACAGACAATCACACAAGCAGGAAATGACATTTTCAGTGGGTGTTCTGTACACCATCTGCTTACAGAACACCTCCAGGTAGCCATATTGCATTTTACATAAACATTACAGTGCTGCAGATTGAAAAAGAAAGGTAATTTTTTAATAAAATACAATTACAATATGACTTGAGTTGTAATTGTATATTATATACATATTTCTTTTATTATTTGCCAATTTTTTCCCCATGAAAGTGGAGTTACCCTTTAACAAGCAGAGCTGGACATTAGAGGAATTTCAGGAAGCTATTGCCTCCAGAATCCCCAAGGAAAATGGGAAAAAAATCAGTGGTTTAACCTGTGGGGGAAGGGTCTATCTCAAACATAAAATATGCACAGTGTTTGAAACTGGAAGGGTGTTTTGCAGGATCTGCACTATAATGCCTCATTCTACTCACCAGTTTGCGGATTCTGTCCAGCACCAGGTCAATGATCTCTTTGCCGATGGTGTAGTGACCTCGGGCATAGTTGTTGGCGGCGTCTTCCTTGCCGGTGATGAGTTGCTCCGGGTGGAAAAGCTGCCGGTAGGTTCCTGTCCTCACCTCATCTATAGAAATGGGACAGCAATGGGTCAGAACCTTGCTACAGGTGACAACACTTGGTTGACATCTCATACACCATTTATCACACAACATAACAGATGGCCTACTCACCAATCACAGTGGGCTCCAGGTCCACAAAGACAGCGCGGGGAACGTGTTTTCCAGCCCCGGTCTCACTGAAGAAGGTGTTGAAGGAATCGTCTCCTCCTCCGATGGTCTTGTCGCTGGGCATCTGTCCGTCCGGCTGGATGCCATGTTCCAGGCAGTACAGCTCCCAGCAGGCATTGCCAATCTGCACTCCCGGCCTGGCCAACATGGATTGAGATGCATTCCCTCTGTGGTGGGGGAAACAGTAAAGATCTTGTTAGATAGCAGAGTCATAAAATACAGAAGAAATTGATGCTTGTCAAACATACACTCACCGGCCACTTTATTAGGTACACCTGTTCAATAGCTTGGTAACACAAATTGGTAATCAGCCAATCACATGGCAGCAACTCAATGGTGAAGACGACTGCCTCAGAATGGGGAAGAAGGGGGGATTTAGGTGACTTGGAACATGGCATGGATGTTGGTGCCAGACGGGCTGGTCTGAGTGTTACAAAAACTGCTGATCTACTTGGAATTTCACACACAACCATCTCTAGGCTTTACAGAGAGTGGTCCGAAAAAGAGAAAATATCCAGTGAGGGGCAGTTGTGTGGACGTTGATGTTGGGAGGTCAGAGGAGAATGGGCAGACTCAGGGGCGGACTGACCATTTGGAAACTCGGGCACTGCTCGAGGGCCCGGGGTCAGTAGGGGGCCCCATGAGATGCCCCTGGTACCTTTTTCATAGGCTTTTTTGAGTTTGGGCAAGGACACAGGGGCCCCATGATCCCCTATTGCCCGGGGGCCCTATGAGTTGTCAGTCCGCCCCTGGGCAGACTGGTTGGAGATGACAAAAAGGCAACAGGAACTCATGTCAATATGGACCAAAACCTCCGGGGAATGTTTCCAACACCTTGTTGAATCCATGCCACGAAGAATGAAGGCAGTTCTGAAGGCAAAAGGGGGTCCAACCCAATACCAGCAAGGTGTACCCAATACACCTGGTGAGTGTATATTGTATATTCCAAACTGTATTAGAAAATGAGAACTACAAGACCGTGGAATATATAACATAGAGGAGCGATATCACAAAGGAACACAAATGTTAAAGTGAACAAAAAAGAGTAATACAGCATTCACTCATCATATCAGGCAACATTTCCCTGAGCATACGTTCAGCAGACACAGAAATGTTACAATGTATTACAAAATCCAATCATGGTGTGTTTAGAATGTAAATCCTCCAATCACAGAGCAGTGTGCAGAGTTTCTGACTCCATTCAAAGTATTGATTTACAAAGTGTAATTCAATCCTGACATTGTGGTCACAAGCAGAACAATAGGACTGGTGGAATGCAAAGCTATCTGCATACTGTGTTCTGTGTACATGATGGATGTATTGTGCAGGATAAACCAGCTAGATAAAGGAGATTGTACTGCAGATACAGAGATGCATAGGATGGCAGAGTGCGGTCACACATGGGGGGATGTATAGGATGGCAGAGTGCGGTCACACATGGGGGGATGTATAGGACGGCAGAGTGCGGTCACACATAGGGGGATGTATAGGATGGCAGGTGCGGTCAGAGTGTATAGGTCACACACATAGGGGGATGTAAAGGATGGCAGAGTGCGGTCACACATAGGGGGATGTATAAGGGGATGGGATGGCAGAGTGCGATCACACATAGGGGGATGTATAGGACGGCAGAGTGCGGTCAGAGGATGCGGTGTGGTCACACATAGGGGATGTATAGGATGGCAGAGTGCGGAGTCACACATATGGGGGCATGTACACATAGGATGATGGCAGAGTGCGGTCACACATAGGGGGATGTATAGGATGGCAGAGTGCGGTCACACATAGGGGGATGTATAGGATGTATACACATAGGGGGATGTATAGGATGGCAGAGTGCGGTCACACATAGGGGGGATGTATAGGATGGCAGAGTGCGGTCACACATAGGGGGATGTATAGGGTAGATGTATAGGATGTATAGGACGGCAGAGTGCGGTCACACATGGGGGGGATGTATAGGACGGCAGAGTGCGGTCACACATAGGGGGGTATAGGACGGCAGTATAGGGGGACGGACAGAGTGCGGTCACACATAGGGGGATGTATAGGACAGAGTGCAGGGGGAGTGCGGTCACACATAGGGGGATGTATAGGATGGCAGAGTGCGGTCACACATAGGGGGATGTATAGGACGGCAGAGTGTGGTCACACATAGGGGGATGTATAGGATGGCAGAGTGCGGTCGGTCACACATAGGGGGATGTATAGGATGGCGCGGTCACACATGATGCTGAATAAAAGTTGATCTCTCCGGGATCCGATGGGTTAGGTGTTCGGTGTGGAGCGGTCACTGTCCCCTCTCTCTCCTCTCCTCTATATATATATAGGAGTCAGTGACAACAGCATCCTTAGTAACAGGAGGGAGATGGGAGGAGCCCGGGGCCGGTGACACCATTGTGTGTTGTGGAGAGAACACAATCCTGCCTGGGAGTGGCTGCACTCAGCACAACACAACTGTTACCAGGTACAAGGAGTGCGGGGTGACCCCGGGCCAAAGACATGGAGGGGGACAGAGAAGGCAGGAAGGAGGGAAGAGGACAGATCTGGAGGGAAGAGGACAGATATGGAGGGAAGAGGACAGATATGGAGGGAAGAGGACTGATCTGGAGGGCGATAGGGGAGAAAAGTCCGGGAAAGTTCAGGAAAGGAGGGAGATCCAGAGACAGGGAGGGAAGCAAAGATCAGATAGATGTTTGCAGGTGTATGTGTGATACGTTATATATAACCCCAATAAGTATATATAATAACCTCAGCTCTGTGTAATCTGCAGGTTTTAAAGAGACCCCGAATCACACGCTGACATTGTAACTTTATTTTATTTATTAATTTTGGGGAGAAAAATGTCACAAAGTTAGCCAGTGATAACACATATGACATGAACCTTTGTCGCTGATCCAATGTATCATAATATTTATTAAGGCCACCAATTGGAGATCTTCTTTTGATTATTACAGAGCTCATGATTTACCAGTCAAGGCAGTAATCACAAACGGTGACAGATGTCCTCTTGTAAGATACAAACATTTGTAAATCCCGCCACACACATATAGATTTCCTTCATTCTGCCTGCAGGCTGTCACAATACCAAAACGGTGCCTGCATTTGATTGGATACAGGTGCTGGTCAGCCAGCGATTTTCCACCTGGTTGATCTGGGTGAAAGAGCTACCTATGGAGCTAAAATTGGCCAATTCAGCATGTATGGCCATGTATAGCAAATGAAAAAAATAATATGGCATATAAAATTGCCACACAAGTCATACGGTAACATACAGTTATTAAAAGTGCTGTCATTTTCTGTAAAATGCAATATGGCTACCTGGAGGTATTCTGTACACAGATGGGGTACAGAACACCCCCCAGAAATGTCATTGCCTGCTGTGTTCTTGGTCAGATATTGAGCATCCCCCCATGCAACAAAAATGTCATTTTTTTGGTGAGATACTCCCAAAGAGAAATCATGTCTAATGCAGGTCATAGACGTGTGGAACATCAGCCGATTTTTCGAACGATAAATGACAAATCGGTCGTTCGTTCAGCCGACGCTACCACCAACGTCTTAAAAAATCGGCTGACTAAATCATAAAGTTCACCCCATAACTTCTGTCCCTTGCAGGTCACTGCTCATGTGCCGATTTGTTTTTTTTATCGTTAAAACGATCGGCCGATTTGGCCATTATTGCTGGGAAAATCGTCCAATTGTCCAAATCAGCCGCAAATTTTCCAACATGACCGAAAATCTCAAAGTGCCAAAAAAAGAAAAACAGCCGACCAATTAACCCACTAACATTGCGAAAATCGGTCGATTTTTTTTCAGCTGAAAAATCGGCCGATTTTCAAAATGTCTATTATTATTATTATTATTATTATTATTACATCGAGTTTATATAGCGCCAAAGGGTTTGCTCAGCGCTGTACAATAGGCTGTCTATGGCTGGCATAAGGCCTGGTTCACACCTATACACTTTTTTTTTTGTTTTGTTGTGTTTCAGAATTGCACTACAGTCTATTCAACATAGTTTCCTATGGGACATGTTCACATCTATGCGTTTGCACCCGGTGCATTTTTGGAAAAGGTTAGGGACTTTAAATGTAAAACAGTGCGATTTTGGTTCAATAGACTTCAATGGAGACGCTGTAGAAAAGCATGTATTGCATTTTTGACACGTTTTTGATGTGTATTGGGTTTTTCTAATCTACCCAATAAACATGTAAAAAAAAAGCGAAACGCACCACAAAAATCACTGTAGAGACAGATCAAAAGCAAACTGAATGGCTGTGAACCAGGCCTTAGGCTAGGTTCACACCTATACAAAAAATATAAATAAATAAACAGCGCAAATCAAACAACTCATTCAGTGCATGTTACAAATAAAATTGTAGTAAAAATAACCAATTTAAATAAAGTGCCAAAAAATATTATGTTAGTGTCCACAAAAAATATATGCATAAAGTCCTTTTATCCCAGAAAAAACATAGGTATAATGATTTCTCCCAAAAAACAGTGCTTCCATCATCCACCAGTGTGAAATCAAAATCAATCGCACTCACCAGATGTTGGTGAGTTATGCGCCTTTTAGAATTTAAGGGATCCTAAACCCCCTCTATATCCTCCAGAACTCCTAAATCGCTTTGCAGGGCTAGATGATTCCTCTCACTCCTCATATGAACTCCACCGCGGTCCAAAAAAAGAAAAAACATATACCATAGCGTGATACTGCTATACCTAATGTAGTATTATAAATAATACCAGGCCACTCACATGTTATAGATAAATAGAAAGCATTGATTTATTGCCTCCATAGGCTACCAAAATGTCCATGGGATCACACTCCAATCCAGAGACCTCACAGCCTGTTGGTTTGCAGAGGATAGAAACCCAGATCCAAAAATCAAGATGGCCGCTTGGAACGCACCCCTAGGCGTGCGTTCCACTCACCGGAAGTGACGTAGGACGTAAGGACGGCAGACCGGAAATGCGTCAACGCGTTTCGCCCCTCCCACGGGGCGTTCTCAAGACACCATTTCCAGTCACCAGACGCTATTTATACACAAATGTGTC